CTCATTGCCATTATCAATAGATGAAGGCCCTGGCCAGTCTTTAGGAAGGAAGGCTTTGCCTTAGAGTACTCTCCTTGAAGTCAATACCTGGGTCACATGTCCCCAGAAGAAGGGCAGACTGGAGACACATCTTCCCTCTCAACTGTATCCCTGTTCCCATGTGAACCCTCTGAGTCCCCACAGCCTATTCAGTTCCTCCAAGGGTGGTGGCTGTGGCTTTTCTCCTAGCCACATCCTGCATTCTTCCACTGTGGTCGCTTCTATGCAAATTTTTCCTTCACCCCATCCTTCCAATGTCTCTCAAGACAGAGTCCCAACCTCAGTTTCCCTCCAGGGGTCTGGAATTGCATTTCATATTCTTTTTCAATATTAGCTTTTGCTATTTGCAAAAGTGGTGCCAGAAAGAGTTAATTATTCATGACCCAATACCCAGTGACAATCGCTGCCAATTCTGGTGCCTTCCCCAAGTCTCCTCTCCTCATGCACCAGCATGAACAGGTTTTAATTAAGACACAACCACACAGTCTATTCTCAACCAACAGTTTGCTGTGCTCGCCTGTTTCTGTTCTTAAACACGTTTCCTGCATTTTTAAGGGCTGCATAGCAGTCTATGGCCAGGTGCTCCCCATAAATTGTAATCAATTTTGTCTTGTGAAGCATCTAAGTTGACTCTGGCTTTTGGCCATCATGAAATTCAGAGAGCTACATACTTAGGACGATAAATGGCTCTCTCCTGGTGTTAAATTTAAAGAAAGCAATTGCGGGTTAGAGGAGTTGTGCTTTTTAATGAGCTTAATGAATTTTTTTTTTACCAAACTGCTTTCTAAAGCGTCTTGACTTAATTCCATTTCCAAAAGACATGTGCAAAAGTACTTCCTCCCCTCCTCCTTCCCACCACTCCCTTCCCCTGACCCTTCTAATCTTGCAAGCACAGAGACTGATCACTTTGAGAGATGAGATTTTGTTCTATTTTAAATTTATCTGATCTCCAGTGGAGCCAAACGTTTATGCTGTGTGTTAATTTGCCATTGGTCTTTATTTGCACATGAACAGATGAGAGACTTCTTCATCCCCATTAAGCTGGGGTGTGAAGTTACTGGTTTGTCAGCTCTGGCTCCGTGAGCACACGTTAACCTCTCCTCGCCACATATGTTAGGGTGTGCCGGTTAAGCCTTGTTGAAGGTGTTTATTGACTGGGACTGCTTCCGTACCCGCCTGCTTGACATCTTTTCTTACGTGGCTCGATGGCATTTCAGACTCCACATATCCAAATTGAGATTCATTATTTCCCACACCCCAGCTCACTCTTCCCGCTGACTTGCTTATTTCTGTTAATGTCACCACTATTTTCCTACTCATCCAGGCTTGAAATGTGGACAGCATCTCGCATTCCAGCCTCTCCCTCTTCCCCCATCTTCTGCCAGTTGCCAACCCCTATAGGTTCTATTTCTGTGCTGCACTGGCAGGCAGTCCCTCCAACACCCCAGGGGCTCAGATGCTCATTATTTCTTGACTGGACTTTGAAAATGGTCTCTTAAATTCCTCCATGGACACCCCTTTCTTCCTTGCCCCTTCCCGTACTCTACAGTCACAGTCAATTTCCAAAATCAGTGTTCAAACTTAGGGCCCTGCACACACAGGGCACATCTCTCTATTGTCTGCTGCATTTCATTCCACACTCTTAGCCTGATCACGACCTTCTCTCAGTTGAATCTTCTGCCATCCCAGCATGCTCTCCTCCATCAAGTTCACCTCCTTCCCACCCCCTATCCCTTCTGCTCAAACCACCCCCTCCTCTTAGAATTCCCTCCTGTCTCATGTACCTTTCAAAACCCATTGACAAAGCTCCCTGCTCATGGCACGACCAACTCTGCTAGGGTTTCTTGACTCCCGGTTGAAGGGAATTTACCTCTTTGTGTTTGAACCTCTTCTGTAGACTGTGCTTTAATGTGGCTTCTGGCGGGGTTGCTAAAGGTCCCTGAGTCTAGAAAGCAGAGTTTCTGAGGGACTCCTCCCCCCAGGACTATTTCTTCTACACAGTGCCTCACAGCAGCCGGTGCTCAGCAGCTGTCTCTAGAATTCAGAGCAACTCTCGTGTAGCTTAATGCTTGTGAATTCAAGATCACTGTGAGAAGAGTGTGCCTGTCAGTCCAGGGGCAGTGTCCAAGTCTACTTTGCAGAAGGCTGAGCTGTACTGATGAGTGGCCTTTGGGACAAAGCACCAGCCATGATCATCCCTTTGTCCCCACGATTTGTGGCTATTTATTCAATGCCCTTCTCTTGTCCTTGGTCAAGTCATGTCATGCACAGCGTGACATGGGGAATTTACTTCACAAGTTGACCATTGAGGATAAAAAGACTTGGGAACAACTCTCCTTGGGCTGAGAGTTGAATGACAGCTGAAGGGTGCTGGGAGCCCCATGACCTTGACACGCAAGCGCCTGCACCAGTTAAGAGTTTTTCTCTCATTAATGTATTTAAATGGAGTCAATACTAGGGTCAACTGTGTGCACAGCCGTCTTCAGCTCTGGAGGTGACTCTGCAGCCTGCACGGGCGTGTGCAATTGACACAGTCTATTTTTAGCCTCCCAGAGACCGTGACCAACATCCCAAGCAGAGGGTGGGTACACCTGCAGCATTATGATGAGGCAGCCCCACTTGCCAGCCAGCCTGGCCTCTCCTCGACCCAAAGGCCTTTGTTGCTAAGCTGTGAAGTCTGCTGTTCCTTAGAGGCGGCAGCCCGGATGCACCACGAGAACAGGGCATCACCTCATACCCCACGCAGCTCGTTCCTGTCTAGTCTCAGACACAGGGTGGTCCTGGGGCTACGCCTGAGGTAGGAGGGAGGGATGGCATCACTTGTGTTTCTCCATCTGCTCTATCCCTGGGGCTACCTTTTCCCTTGACTGCTGGTCTGAGCTGACCCAGCTCATGAAGGGGCAAATTAAGACAGGACAAGGATTATATATATATAATACATATGATCCACATGGTAGCAATGATACTAGCAACAGTAATGAAGCCCTTATTTTATATGCACACCATGCAGACATCTAGTGCTAAGAGAAACTGACCTTAGTCGATGCCTTGACTGTTTCTCTCTCTCTCTCTCTCTCTCTCTCTCTCTCTCTCTCTCTCTCTCTCTGGGTGTGTCTGTGTGTACATTTTATGTACATATGTGTGCACATGCATTTAGATCCCAGAGGTCAACCTTGTATCATTCTTCAGGAGCCATCTACCTTGCTTTGTTGACGCAGGATTTCTCACTGAGTGCCGGGGTTCACCATTGGGCTACACTGTCTGGCCAGGGATCCTCCTGTCTCCACCTCCCCAGTGCTAGGATTATGCCTGGGTTTTTACATGGGTGCTGGGGACTGGACTTATGCTTCCCTGACAGCCCTTGAGGCACTGAGCTGTGTCAACAGCTCCCTGGAAGGTTTCATTAGGCCCTGTATTTATTGAGGAGGGAACAGAGATGTAGTGGTGGGTTACAAATTCCAAGGTCACACAGCCAGGAGTCAGGATGGAATCCTGGAGCCCTGATTCCCAGCTGAAGAACACCAGCTTTTGGAGAAACCCACTTGGCTATTGGTCTTGGTATTTTTAAAGACGTGTATCATCCTTTGGTGCTTTTTCTGTGCCTGGCATCTGGGTGTACATATTCCAGAGACCAGCAGTCCTCTGGCATTGCTATGATTCATCTAGGTGACCTCTGACCTCCATACACCCTTCCCCTTAGCCTGAGGAATGCAAGCCAAGTAGATGCAGTGGGAGGGGAGAGCTGAGCTAATAGGATGGAGAGCCGGAGAAGCAGGAGTAGGCACTGCTCAGGGAAGAGCTCGCCGATAGGAGGACTTGCAGTGCTGAAGTTCAAGGGAAAATGGGAGTCAGAGCCTAGGAGCTGAGACAACAGCCCTGACATAGCAGAACACAGGAGACCCGTATTTGAGGGTAGCAAGTCTGATTGTAGCCTGCTGTAGCATGGTGGGTGAGAGAAGCACAGGGCTTCATTTCCTAGGTGCATCCTTGTCTGTGATTTTGATTTGGCTTAATGAACACTTACTGCATGTCCAGTCTCTTTCTAGGCACTTAAAACAACTAATTTGCCTAATTTTCAGGGCAATCTTATGAAGTATGGATATCTTATTTTCATTTTAGAAGTGGGAAACTAAGGTACAGAGTGCAGTGGTTAATAACTTTGCCTGACATTGTATAATTAATGTAGTGGTCATCTCTCCACTACTGAAATAAAATACCCAAGGCTGGGTAATTTATAAAGAACAAAATTTCTTTAGCTTATAGTTCTGAAGTTTTAAGACCACAGTGTTATCTTCTGCCCTGAGAGGCTTTTGATATAGCAGGAACATGTGTGTGTGTGTATGTGTGTGTGTGTGTGTGTGTGTGTGAGAGAGAGAGAGAGAGAGAGAGAGACAGAGACAGAGAGAGACAGAGAGAGGGAGAGAGAGAGAGAGAGACAGAGACAGAGAGAGAGAGAGGAGAGAGGAGCATCTTGCTCTTCATAAAGATTCTCTCTTGAGAACTAATCAAATCTCCATGAGACAATGAGGTTAATTACTTCCGTGGCCATGTTCCCAGTGACCTGGCCACTCTACTCCTTAAAGATTGCTCCATCTCCCACAATACAGAGTGAACCTTAAGTATGTGAGCCCTCATGAGTAAGCCACATCAAAACCACGGCTGCTCAAGAGCGAACTCTTTGCTTCCCACCTTCCCCACATAATCCTTCCCTTTGTTGAGTGTTTCCTCCTGGTCCCACTAAAGGAAGATACTGTTTCCCCATTTGACAGACAGGGAAACTGAGGGTCATACCAGTTTAGACCACCCAGTTTGTAAGATCTGGAACTGAGGTCAATCAAGGTCTATTTGGTGTATCAGTAGCCTGCTGTCAACCATTTGGTCAAGAAGCCATTGCCACTTAGTACGGAGAAGATCGGAAATCTCTGAGGCAGGACTAACTTGGGTCCCTTCTCTCCCTTTAGGTGAGCAGTGCCCCCCCTCAGCCCCCTCAGCCTGTCGTCCCAGCCAAGCCTGTGCAATGCGTCCACCATGTGTCCACACAGCCCAGCTGCCCAGGACGGGGCAAGATGTCCAAACTGCTGAATCCCGAGGAAATGACATCAAGGGATTACTATTTTGACTCGTATGCTCACTTTGGGATCCACGAGGTAACACCCGCATGTTGGGGACCAGGGGACCAGTGGCACAGGTGTGGCCCTGTCATTTCTTTCTTGTTTTCAGAGGTGGCAAAGCACCTATGTCCAACTCTCTGTCACCTCAAAATGAATCCCTCTGGTGCCCTTAACCCCGACTCTCTCTCCATCCTGTGGTTCCCTTTGGGACAGTCATGGATGGCCAAGGCAGGGCCTGGAGCAGGTGAGTAGGTAGAAGTGGGAGTTTGTGCGTCCCAGCATTTGAGAGGCTGAGAGGAGGTCAGAGGACTGTTGAGGGTTTGAGACCAGCTTGGGATATGTAGTGGGTTCCTGGTCAGACTGAATTACAGAGTGAACTGCTTTTCAAAACAAATGAATGGCAACGAATTGGGGGTGGGGCAAACCAGGGGTGCTTTGAGCTTATGTTTTGCTTCCAGCCCTGTGTCTGTCTCTAACCACTAACCCCAGACATCCTGGCCAATGCACTGAGGCCGCCGTTGCCTTGTGGAGGTCGTGATGCCTATTAATTTGTCCACAGGGCATCTCCAGGGGAAGAATGGAGGGTGAGATCATATAGACAGGCCCCCTCTGACACTCTGATTCCATCTTTGCAAGTTCTCAACAGAGAAGCCTTGCATCAGACCCTAAGCAGAAGCAAACCTCATGGCTATTGTGGGTGCAGAATCGAGCCCCATGCCACACCTCATTGTGTAATTCCCTAGCACTGTCCCAAACTGCCCCCAAAGCAGCTGGCATTGGCTGCCACTTGCCAAGTAATGGGCACAGCTCTCCTTGTGTAGTATGCATCATTTTCACTTGATCCTAATAAGAACCCTGTGAGGATGACATCCCCACCATCCCTAAGCAAAGGGAAGAGAGTCCTAGGGAAAGGGGGGCCAGTCACTGGATGCGGCTCCCTGGCTGTGAGGATGTCTTTCAAACCTGCTCCTGTGGCTCCCTGGCGATGAGATGATGCCGGAAGGTCTACTTCCATCCAAATTGCCAGGCTGCTGCCAGGGAGGTTTTTTAATATCGGTAGTCAGCGGTTTTTAGTTGTGAAATGCTTATTGTGTACTGGGTATTGTTCCAAGCATTCTGGATTATCGGCTCATTGGCCTCTCAGCATAGCCTTATGCTATGCCTGCTATTGTGTTCATAGGTGATCCAGGGTCTTACCAATCCTCCCAGCCCTCATCCTAGCTGTTGTTTTGCATAAGACTAGTGAAGACAGCTAGAAGCTCAGCCTTCCCATTTGTGCATGGGGATTTCATTCCTAATTGTCCTGTCACACACCTTTAAAGATGTTTCCTTCCTGTCTGCTCCCTGACCCCCACAGAAATCTTACAGGATGAGTGGATTCATTTGCTTCCCTTACATCCTAGGCAGCTTCTGTGAAGGCAGAAGGTGAAGGCGAGGAGAACTCTCAGCCCCCTCCCCCTTAGATCAGGGGCTCTGTCTTGCATAGTCTAGGGAAGTTGGGGTTCTCTGTGCTGCCTTCTGCATAAATGGTGAGCCGGGGCCTGTGTGAGGGTTGAGGATCAGGGTTCTGTTCCAAGGGCCCTGGTCCTGGAGGGGGCAGGTGCCCGCTCAGGAATGTGGGTGGTCCCTTGCACCATCCTTGGTCCAGCTTCCCATCCAGCATTAACCTGTGCTAAGACTGTGCAGGCTCTGTGCAGTGGAAGGGACAAGTGACAGTTTCCATCCTAAGGGTACACCCATGAGGCAGGCTCTAAGAGTCTGTAGCTGTGGGTTCCTTATTGGACCGGCACTTGGTATCTTAGTTACTATTCTATTGCTATGGAGAGACTCCATAACCAAGGCAACTTATAGAAGAAGGCATTTAATTGGGACTTGCTTTCACTTTCAGAGGGTTAGTCCATGGTCATCATGGTTGGAACCACAGCAGAAGGCAAGCAGAGCGCTTGAGACTGGGTCTGGCATGAGCTTTTTGAAACCTCAAAGCCCATCCTCAGTGAAACAGCTCCCCTAACAAGGCCACACTTCCTAAACCTTCCTAAACACTCCACCAACTTGGAATCAAACATTCAAATATCTGAGCCTATGGGGCCATCCTCATTCAAACTGCCACACTTGGGAACTATATCCAGGACCCTGAATGGCTTGGCCTGCCTGAAGCTCCCCCACTGGAAACCAGCCCCAAAGCACACTGAGGACAGCCTTTTCTGCATCTTCACACTGAGCCCAGGAAGCCCCCCTCTGAGCTCCTGGGCTAACTGCAGGCCCATTAGCGCAGCTCTCCTGGGCTATTTTCAGGCTGTGTAATTCTTTCAGGGTTGACCTTCCCCACACTGTGACCTGGGGCTTCAGTGTTGTCAAGGCTTTGGGGGGTGTGTACATGTTTGGGTGCGTGTGGGGGTGTGTGTACATGCTTGGGTGCGTGCGGGGGGCTGTGTGTACATGCTTGGGTGCGTGCGGGGGGTGTACATGCTTGGGTGCGTGCGGGTGTGTGTGTGTACATGCTTGGGTGCGTGCGTGCATTTTGAGAGGTACTACGTAGCCAGGTTGGCTTTGAATTTGTGGCAGCCCTGTTGCCTCAGCCTCCCAGGTGCTGGGATCGCAGACTGAGCTGCCTGGCTTGTCAGTAGGGATCAGCATCATGGCTGACATGTGGGGGTGGGCGATTGGCCTGATCTGCTTGGGAGAAAGCCACCAACTGACTACTACACCAGGCACTTTCATTTAGATGTTTTAACAAAAACCCCAAACTTGTATGTGCCATAGCGAAGGCAAAAGGGTCTGTGTGTCACAGATGACCCCTCTACTCCACAGCCTGAGTAACCTTCTCATGGGGAAGTGCTTCTGCATGCCTATCTTCAATCCCTCCTGTTGCTGCTGTAGGCCATCTCCAGACCTGGCAAGGAGGTCTTTCAAATCAGACGTGACTAGATGAGTGGCCTTCTCTCCAGGATCACTGAGTGTGAAAGGACATGGGAACAGGGATAAGCCGAATGCAGATGCTCTGTGTAGAGAGACTCCTTCCTGCCTCCTGTGGTCTAGTGGCAGGGATCTATCTGCTCATCACTAGAGCTCTCACAATGGTGCTCCTCCGGGATGCTCGAGGCAGGACCTCAGAGCCCCAGCGTGGGCAAGCTGGCTGTGCCTTGGTGCCCTGGCCATCAATAGGTTACTGAAACAATGGTGGCCAGAGAGCGGTGGGTGAGTCACAGGGGGGGGGGGTGTGGATGGAGCATGGTTCTATAAATATAGACAAGATGGGTGGTAGGTAGGAGGAGGGCTAAGCAAACAATGATTCTGGACCTTATGTTCTTTCCATCCACGCTTCACTTGGAGACAACTCAAGAGGGCAGGGCCAGGAGAGGGTGGCCATGACCTTCCAGTGGAACCCAGAGGCTTGTGGGCTTCCTGGGACCTTCAAAAAACAGGGAAATGTTCAGGTCCCCAAGAACCAGCCTGAGTCTCAACATCTGTGTACTGGTCAGAGGTGGGCCTGGAGCATCAGCCTGGAACAGTCTCTGCCTGTGTGGTTTGACAGCGGGTCAGCACTGGTAGGCTGAGTACCTTCTACAGGTTCTGTTCTGTACATTGCCAGGGAATCTGGTTTTCCTTCATTAGCCTAGAGCTGACACTTTCGGGAAACTTTCTGTATTTGCTTAATCACCACATCAGCCCTAGAAGTGGGTGCTATCATGGCATTACTTCACAGACCAGGAAGCCGAGGCACCAGGCACTTGATGATGGGCTGGGCCAGGGAGCTTAGCAGCAGTGGAGGTGTGGAACGGGTGCAGTAGCGGAGGCTGATGTGTCTGTGTGCAATGGCCACATGCTCTATATTACTGTCTTCTGATTTACCAAGCGTATCTAGGACGCCCTTGCCTGTTCTGGGGATAGGACCTTGCACACTTGTGACCTAGGGATCTCCTGAAGAGAGAGGCTTCACTCATCCTCAATTTTGTGGTCAGGGGTCACCACAACCTGAGGAGCTGTATTAAAGGAACAGCATTAGGGAGGGTGAGAACTTAGGAAGAAATGGCTTTTTAAATGTTTCCTTTTGGAACAAAAGTAAAATCACAAACACCAAAACCCAAGAGCAAAGCTTGCACCTTACAAAACTGGAGAAATAAGAACACATACAACTCAAGTCAAAGAAAGGCAATGATACAGATGGGAGCAAGTCAACTAGAAAGAAATCCAACGATAGAGGAAACCATGAGAGCCCAAAGTTTTGAGTTTAGTAGTGTACTTTACCTGTGTAAAGTAACTGATTTCATTGTGACAGTTTCACAGAGAATACTGTTCACTTTCATCTTAGTTACGCCAACTACCCATTTTTGTGCCCCTTGACCTTCCCAACCCACCCCCTTTTCCTTCTACATCTTTATAAACAACTGGATCCTGCATATGGAAGAAAATATTTGTCTTTCTGGGTCTGGCTGATTGCACTTAGCATGGTGATCTCTGGTTCCTTCCGTTTCCCTCATGAGGCGAGCTTTCTTCTTATTTGTGTGTGAGTATGTTCCCATTGTGCAGGTGCATGCTCGAGTGGGGGGCGGATGGTATGGCAGCTTTGCTCGCAGTGTTTGGGGGGCTCTCCCTACTGATGGCTACAGTGACAACACTGCTTTCCATCCGTCCCACCTTCGCCAGCTCCATTTCTTTCTCTCTTTTCCTTGACAATAGCCATTCTGACTGGGGTGAAAGAATCTGAACAAAATTTTAATTTGCATTTCTCTGATGACTAAGAATGTCGATGATTTTCTTGGTAATTTTTTTTGTTTTTCTTTTTGGCCCTGAATTCATTGAACATTTTGTCTTTCTTCTTTGAGAAGTATCTGTTCAGCTCATTTGCCCATTTATCAATTGGATTATTTGTTCTCTTAGTCTTTGTAGCTATTTATATATTCTGAATATTAATTTCCTGCCAGATGTATAGCTGGCAAGCATTTCCTTTCACCCTACTGCTTCCTTGGCTGGGAGAAGCCTTTAAATTCCACTCAATCCCATTTGTCAGTTTTTATTATTGCTCTTGAGTTACTGAGCCCCTGTTCAGAAAGTCCTTGCCTGTGTCTATATCATTAAGTGTTCCTTTTCCAAGTTTCAGGTCTTGCACAGTAAGATCTTTGATCCTTTTTAAGTTGGATTTTGTACAGGGTGAGAGACAGGGATCTAGTTACATTCGTCTATATGTGATTATCCAGTTTTCCTAGCACTATTACTGAAAAACCTATCTTTTCTCCAGCAAATACCTTTCCCCACTTTACTGAGCCTCATGGGTTTCTGGCTTCTCTGTTCTGCTCCTTTGGTCTGTGTGTTGGCTTTTATACTAGCACCATGCTCTTCTGTCACTGGTCCTCTGTAGTGTAACTCGGGATCAGGCATGTGATCCCTTCAGCACAGCCACTTTCATTCAAGATTACTTTGCATTCTAATCTTTTGTGTTGCCCCAGGGACTTTAGGTTTGCTTTTCCTGGTTCTTTGAACATCACTGGAATTGTAATGGGGCCTGTATTAAACTTGTGGCTGTTTTCACAGTAGCTATTCCATGAGGGTGTTCTCATTTTCTGGTAGTTCCTGGGTTTCTTCCCAGTGCTTTGTAGTTCTCATTGTAGATGTCCTTTACTTCATCTCTGGTGTCAGATTCATTCCTACATATTTAAGTTTTTAAGGCTATTGTGAATTTTTCTGCATTTCATATTTATTATTGGTGTCTAGAAAAGCCACAGATTTTCCAACGTTGATTTTATTCTCTGAAAGTCTTTGTTGCAGATAAACTTTTCAGAGTCAGTAATGACTTTCAATAACAGGATTGTGACTTCTGCAAATGGGAGTCAGCTGACTTCTTCCTTTCTCATCTCTGTCCCCATTTATTTTCCCTCTCTTCTGATCACCCTAGTTAAGAATTTAAGTATCATTCTGAGTGTGAAGCAAGTAGTCACCCTTGTCTTATTCTCCAGTCTTAGAGGAAAAGTTTTCAGTTTCCCCATTCAACATAATGTGGCTACAAGTTTACTGTATGTCGCTCAAAAGTTAGGTTTCAGACTAATTAAATTAATAACATAATTAGATCTATTAAGAGGGGGAGGGATGGAGGGAGCAAGAGAGTGGAGGAGGAGACAAGGAGAAGAAGGGATGGAGACAGAGAGAGACAGAGACAGAGACAGAGAGAGACAGAGACAGAGAGACAGAGACAGAGAGACAGACAGACAGACAGAACACCCTAAAAAAGGTGATCTCTATCAGAAGTCATACAGTACATACAATTAGAACCACAGTGTTGTGGATCCCTAGGAACTAAAATTGCTACAAGTAAAAGCACAAAAGACACTAAGTTTCTAAGCTGTGAAAGGTGGTGACAGAGTAGCTTAGGGAGGACAACAGCTCAATGATTCCTTCTTGCGCAGTGCTGTTCTGCTCTTTCCTTTCGATTTTAGGCAAACTGGAGCAGGTTTGGACACAACCTTCTTCTCTTATAACTCTCAGCTGTCTTTTAAGTAGCCATTTAGGGCGGGATTGAGGCATGTGACCTGCATGTGCTGCAGTGGGATGACTCAGCTGCTTGTGGTGCAGATGTGCTCCAGTGACCCAGATGTGCCTGCCCCCAGATGCCCTGCGTCCCCTGACTTCAACTTTCTTTTCCTTCCACTGCAGGAAATGCTGAAGGATGAGGTGAGGACGCTCACGTACCGGAACTCCATGTACCATAATAAGCATGTGTTCAAAGACAAAGTGGTGCTGGATGTTGGGAGTGGCACAGGGATTCTCTCCATGTTTGCTGCCAAAGCAGGGGCCAAGAAGGTGTTTGGGGTAAGCATGTCACCCTCCCCGTGTTGGCTTCCGCAGAGTGGTCTTTGCCTCTGGCTTTCCCTGGGCCTTCCTACGAAGACCCACCTTGGTCCATCATCTCTTTTCCCATTTTGTGCTAGAACCAGAGCCTTGAGCATGTTAGGCAAAGCCACCTTCCCAGCCCCAGTCCATGTCTCTTGCTGGAGGAGCAGAGACAACCAATCACAAACCATTATCACCAACATCAACATAATCATCTTTATACCACCACCACCATCGCTATCATTGTAAGGATTCAGGCATCATGCTGGCCTGCCCCTGGCGCCTAGAAGAATGCACTCAGGCAGTACCCTGGGCAGCCCAGGGTTCCTTGACTACTAGTCTGGATGCAGCATGCAAAGGGCCTTTAAAATAAAGACCCCGGCCCACTTAGCAATCTTTATCCCGTGGTTCCCCTGGGGCAGACAGGACTTTTCTTCTCTCCCTCTTCTCTTCTGTCTTGTCTCTGACTCTGTGTCTCGTTACCTTTTTTCTCTTTCCTTCCCCCCTTTCCCTTTCTAATAAGATGCACTTAAGCTCTGTCTATCTGGCGTGTTTGTCCCCTGCTTCCATTACCCTTGCCTGCCATGGAATCCGCCAAGGTTCCCCTTGCACTTCATCCTAGAAGTCATCACCACCATCGTTACCACCTCCACCATCAAGAGTAGCACCATCACTGTCACCGCCACAACCTTTCCTTGTTTTAGGCTTCTTTCTGTCAAACCTCATCAGCATGGAACCCTGATGCCATGGATCTCAGTGGCCTTGAGGTCATCTGGAGATCCTACACTGTCCCTTCGAGGACAGAGGCCCAGGTTATGCCAGCCATGGTCAGGGTGAGCCGGGAACAGCAGTGCACTGTCTCTGACTCCTGAGTCACTGGGGAATACAGCTAAGTTGCTGCCAGGGACACTGCTTGGTGCCTTTCCTTGGTAACTTGGCACAGTCTGCCTATCATAAGTGGCTCTATTCCTGCCAGGGTTAGCCAGCTTCCTTCCCATTAGCTCATTGTTTCAGCTGTTCCTGTTTCAGGCTCCCCCTCCGACCACCGTGCACTCCACGGGAGGAAGGGACAGGAAGTGAGACAGAAACACAGAAGGCGGTGATATGAGGTGAGAAGCAGAAACTAGGGAGACCCGGAGGAAAGTTAGAAGAAAGAAAATGAAGTAGAATGTAAAGAAGAAAGAAAGAAAGGAACAATGAGAACAGAAACAGACGGAAGGATAGGGTAGGGTGATGGCTGAAAAGGTAAATGAGGAGCCAAGGTATGCAGCCTGGCTGGAGGGCTCCCCATGGTGGGTGGTCTGTGCCTCATCTCCCCCTCATCTAACCCTGAAAGGGACCACAGCCTGTTACAAGAGGCCTGGGAGGGCATCAGGATGTGGCCATCTGCCGACCTGGAGCTGCTGTGTTCTTCAATGCTAACCTCAGGAACCACATGTATGTGGGGGGACAGGGCGTCAAGGAGAAGAGGATGGGGGCACTGCCCGGGGGAATGGAAACTGAAAGCCACGGCCTGATGACCAAGGAAGGCTGGGTCCTCCCGGGACAGGACAGCATCTGTTTCCTGAGTCAGTGCCTTTCCATCCCAAAGGCAGACACTGGGCAAGGCCACCGTGACCCTGACATAACTCTCAAGCCCTCTTTGTCAGAGAGCCAGATAAAGTGACAGATAGGTCTCCAGAAATGCCCCTTTGCTCCCAGCACCTCCTACAACACATTCCAAGCTTCTAGACCCAGGGATGGGCCTTGGCCTCCAGTCATCTGGTGAAGCTCTGCTCTTAGCTGATGGTCAATTCATTTCTCAAATACTTTGGTCCTTTCTTAGAACTTTGGGGATCCTGAAAAGACTTGAATGCACAAGCAAACAGCTTCTGTCAAAGGAAGAGTCTGCAGAAGGGCACTGTAAGTCAGCTTTAGTTACTGTAAGAAAATACCTGGGACAATCAGTTTTAAAAGATGGAAGGTTTTGTTTGGCTCAGTTTTAAAGGTTCCGTTTTATGGCCACTTGGCTCCTTGATTTGGGCCTGGGATGAGCCATCGCATTGCGGTGAGAGCATGTGTAAAGGAAGGCCTCACTTCCTGGTAGGAAAAGAATGGAATGAAGAGAAGGGCTTCCGGTCTTAGTACCACATTCAAGGACATGCACCCAGTGACCTGACCGGGTCCAGTGACCTGACTTCCTCCCACCAAGCTTCCTCTCTTAAAGGTTGCACCAGTGCCAGGAGCCCGATAGGCTGAGGACTGAGAAGTCAGCAAGGTCCTTAGAGAACGCTACCCAGATCAGCTCAAGGGCCTTAGAGAACACTACCCAGATCAGCTCAAGGGCCTTAGGGAATGCTACCCAGATCAGCTCAAGGGCCTTAGGGAACACTACCCAGATCAGCTCAAGGTCCTTAGAGAACATTACCCAGATCAGCTCAAGGTCCTTAGAGAACACTACCCAGATCAGCTCAAGGGCCTTAGGGAACACTACCCAGATCAGCTCAAGGGCCTTAGAGAACACTACCCAGATCAGCTCAAGGTCCTTAGAGAACACTACCCAGATCAGCTCAAGGGCCTTAGAGAATGTTACCCAGATCAGCTCAAGGTCCAGAGTTAACTTTTGTGTGTGTGCCTTCATAGAGGGCGCTATCTATTTTTATTTATTTATTGTTAAAAATTTTATTTAAATTAAAAACAATGTGATTTTACGTACCAATCCCAGTTCCCTCTCCCTCCCATCCTCCCCACCCCCCACTAACCCCCCATTCCACCCCTCATCCACCCCCCAGGGAGGGTGAGGCCTCCCATGGGAGCTCATCAAAGTCTGTCACATAGTTTGAGTCAGGACCTAGGCCCTCCCCCATGTATCTAGGCTGAGAGAGTAGCCCTCCACAGGGAATGGACTCCCAAAGCTCATTCGTGCACTAGGGATAAATACTGGTTCCACTGCCAGAGGCCCCACAGACTGCCCAGGATCCCCAACTGACACCCATGTTCAGGGGGCCTGTCTTGGTCCTCTGTGGTCTGTGAGCTTCTACTTGCTCAGGTCAGCTGTTTGTGTGGGTTTCCCCAGCATGATCCTGACCCCTTTGCTCATCACTCCTCCCTCTCTACAACTGAATTCCAGGAGTTCGGTTCAGCGCTTGGCTGCGAATCTCTGCTTCTGCTTCCATCATCTACTGAGTGAAGGTTCTGTTAAGACCAGTCCTGAGAGCTGCCCTGACCTTTTCTGTTAAAGAATGTGTCCACTTTACACTGGCAGTGCTTAGTGATGGGATGTAGAGGGACGCTCATGGTAACTCTGGCCCAGCTCTGCCTTACACCCCCCCTCAAGAGCTTAGTCTGTTCTGACCTCCTCCGTTCCCCTCCTGCAGGATCCTGAGATTAGTTAGTTGTTCTTCCGGCTCCAGCACAGAAACAGGGTCCCCACCTCTGGGTTTTGGTCTCTAGGCAAAGTGGTCGCTTTAGTAAAATGACCCTAGCCACCCAATGAGAGGGCCGGATCTTAGTTTTCTAACTACCACAGATTTATTGTGTGGCTGTGGCTAAGACTATGCACCTCTCTGAACCTCAGTTTCCCATCTATTCAATTGGTTCTGGGTGCTGTGTCAGATTGCCATTATGTGACAAAATACCTGAGATAATTGTCTCCAAACGCATAGAGAAGTTTATTTTGACTCACATTCAGAGGTCTTGGCACACGGTTGTTGGCCGCGTTGCTCCAGGCAGTGACACAGCTAATCACGGTAGGCGCTTTTGGTAAGTCAAAGTCACTTCCCTCATGGAGGCCAGAAAGTAAAGAAAGGAAGAAGAGATGGAGCTGAGGTCTCCATATCCCTCTCAAAGGCTTGTCTCCAAAGACCTAACTCCGTCTTACTTGGCCCCTTTGCTTTCCCACAGTGCCATGTGCTGGGACTTTCCCCAGCCTTCAGTACTTGGGCCTTTGGGGCCTTTGAAGGTCCTGGATTTAGCAGGTAGCTGTGCTTTGTAAATCGCTGTCTCTTTTTGTTTTGTGTACTTTCCAGATCGAATGTTCCAGTATTTCTGACTACTCGGAGAAGATCATTAAGGCCAACCACCTGGACAATGGTAAGGCCCACCCCCAAGTCTTTCCGAATGGTGAGATAGGGCTTGCATTCTCTGGTTCTGATAGCATAGGTGGGCACTGGAGATGAGAGCACAGGACATGTGGTTTGGGGAAGGGACAGCTTATGTTGGAACAACCACTCACGGAACTGTGGCCCTGTAGTGTGACCTTCCCCTATCTTGCTAATCAGATGGCATCTGCCCAGATGCCTTCCTATCTGTAAGACCCAGAATAGAGCCCTGGGTGCTCTTCATGCTGCACCCCAGAATTCTTCAGCTTCTCCATAGGGAGCCAGATGTCCCCATGGGTCTGACCTGAGAGACAGACACCACAGGGCCTTCCCACTGCACACTACCAGGAAGTAGGCCTTTGACCTCCTTCAGTGAGGCCTCAGCCTGCCACCTGTGCTGCCTGTCGCTTGACCCATTTGCTGTAGACTCTGAAAGACAGGAGAATAAGTCATTTCATAAACTTCTGTGTGTGTCACCATGAGCCTGGCTCTGGGTGCAGAGCAGGGAATATGACAACTGATGTCCTGACCTAACTGAGTCTACTTCCGGTGGAGAGCAGAATTACGGATGCTAAAGAAAGCAGTGACCTGGTGGCAATGCTCTTCTGATCATTTGGGGTAGGGTATCTGGAGACCTTCCACTCATGTGGGTTCGACACCCTTTCCGTCAGCACATTCAAGTTCAAGTTTGAAAACCATGAAGGAAGCAGGCTGAGCAAGTGTCTGGGTACATGTGTGGGATTCAGCAGAAATGCAGGGAGAGGTGTGTGAGGCAAAGTCCTTGAAGGGCTAGCTGCAGATCCTAGTGGAGAAGGTGGCCTTTATCATGGAGTAGGGACACTCCAGACATGGTAATGGAGCCATCTAGATGGAAGTGGTTGGTGGTCTGAGACCTCTAGTTGGTTGTTTTGCTTTGCTCCATGGTGTGAATGCAGTCTTAGGCAGAGAAGCTTAGATGGGAGGGGCAGGGGAGGAGAAAGGCTGGGTGTTCTTTGCAGAGCGTGCTGGGGAGGTGAGGATGGCTGGGAAATGTGTTTCTCTCTTAGAGAGCTCTGGACCCCGCTGAGCAGAGAGCCCCGCTCTCACTGTTGTGTGGCTTTTCTCTTTCTGTACTCACTGGGGCTTGCATGTGTGTGGAGCTGGAGGCTGCCTGGCTTTGATGAGAAGACTAGGCAGGGGTTTGGGGGTGGGGTGGGGGAGGAGGATCCAGAAAACAATGACAACAAACTGATGACACAATATGTCTTTGTCTGAGTTTGTTTCAGTAGTGAAGTACGGGATGCCAGCTGTTAAGTAGCTCAGTTTACAGGTTAAACTTAAGAATGAGGGAGCAGAGGGGAAGGATGAGTGTGGCCAGGCTCACTCCTTTCATGACACCCATTGTGCAAGAGCCCAGGGATCTGAGAGAGGTAACTCATGCTTCCTATGACCTATGATGTCCTGCTTGGCTCCCCTTACAGGGTCCACCATCTTACAGTAATGCAACCCTGGAGACCAAGCCTTTGACACATACATACGTACACAGTGCCCAGCTCTCTGCAATGAGACACCCGAAAGCTACTTTACTCCTAGTTCCTGTCATCCAGTCAAGGACACTGGGGAAAGAGCTGATTGAAAATAGAGGCAGGTGAAGAGCAAGATGAGTCTGAAATGGCCCAAGCATTTGGGAAGACAGGGACCACTTTCAAACTGTAGCAGAATCTAGCTGGGTGAAGGAGGCAGAGTGAAGAGAGGGGAGGCTACTAGCAACGGACAAGGCTGGGGCACTGTATGGGCAGCAGCTATCATAGGCTGGAGCAACGCACTCAGACTGAGCGTGGCAAATGTTGCTCAGATATCCTGACCTCTGACCTCTGGCTTGGTCTCTAGCAGCTCTTAGCTTCCTCAGCAGGCATGGGGATAGGTGTTTTCATAAAAGTGCTTGACCTGGACAGAGGGAGGACAGATGTCTTTTTTCTTTCTGAGTATGGAGAAGGGAAATGAGGCCACCCTCTCTACATAAGGATGATACAATGTAACACTTCCAGACCTCCCCTGTCCCTTCTCCATCCCTCTGAAACAGGCAAGTGTTTCTTCCCAGTTAACAGATGTGGAAACTAAGGCAAGGAGAGGTGGGGGCTGAGGGGAGCCAGAACCCCGGCCTGAGCTCTTGTTCCTGCACTCCATGTGTTTCTGAGTAGATGCAGAGTTCCACAAGCACCTGCAGTCCTGCAAATAGGAACAGGGGTGAGTACAGATAGACGTGGAATGAGATCCACTGGTAGAGATACTGGTAGAGATACTGGGCTCCATTCCTCGGCCCCAGGGCCTTCCACTGGTGCTTATGCCATCCCTGTGCAGGCTTCCTTGAAGGTGACTCCCAACCTCTGGGATCTGCCTTTCCTCCTGTTCTTTCCTGTTTCTTTTGCTGCTGGTTAAATTAATTTCTCTTCTTGTTATTGTGATAACATAGTTGGAGCAAGTTGTTCTAGGAGAGGTGCTTTGAAATCCTGTAAACATTCTGTCTATCTATGTATCTATCTATGTATCTATGTATCTATCTATCTATCCATCCATCCATCCATCCACCCATTTTTCATCTATGCATCATCTCTAGCTTTCATTGGTCTATCAGCTACATATGTCCATCTACCATGTATCTTTCATCTACCATCTTTATCTATCTTCTATTTTTTCTATAAATATTTTCTATTCTGTCTATGGCTACCATCTATCTGTCTGTCCCTGGCCTCTCATCTTGTTATTTCTAGCTATTCATCCTTTTACTTATTAATGTTAACACTTACTGTGCACCCATACTTTACTTAGTGGGTTCTACCTGGCGTTCACTACGTGCTTTGAAACTCCAGTCACTCCTGCTTGGGTCTCTGAGAGCATCTTCAATCTGGCTCCTGTGTACTCCCCCGCCTTCTAGATTTCTGATTTCCCAGCTCCAGTCATTTCAGACTCATCTTGCTCTTCACCTGCCTCTATTTTCAATCAGCTCTTTCCCCAGTGTCCTTGACTGGACGATAGTAACTAGGAGTAGAGAAGGACCTGATGTGCTCCTTAGCTTTCAGGTGCCTCACTGTAGAGAGCTGGGGACTGTGCATGTATGTGATATATGTGTATCGTGTGCATGCATGCATGTGTATGCTATGTGCATGCGTGGTGTATGTTTGTGTGTGTTCTATGTGTGTATGTATCGTGGATATGTATGTGCTGTATTATGTGAATACGTGTATATGCGCGTATGCATGTGTGTGATGAATGTGTATGTACACACTTACACAGCACTCATTCCTGGATCTACCTTCCCAAGCTGTTGGTGCTGAGCTCAGATGACTCCTCCACTTCTAACTCAGCCCCATGAGGCCACTCCTTGTCTCCCTTTCTCTACCCAGACCTCCTTCCTCTGACATTGAAAAGCTAGCCTCCTGTTATTGACATATTGGCTTACTGGATCAATCCTCCTGCATGTAACCAGTCTCCCCAAGTCCCCGCCTCCTGCACCATGTACATGTTTTGTCACTGTGTCACCCTGGGCTGGACAGCTTCCTAAGTGACGTCCTTCCCCCTCCATCTTAGAGGGCCCTGTTCCCCTTAGGGCACCACTGTCCCACTCAGAGCAGTCTTCTGAGGAATGTCCTTCATTCCCAACTCGGTGTCGGGTGTCCAGGCTGGGTCACTGTCCCTGACTCAGGCTTCCCCACCCCACGTTACCCTGCAGTGTCGACCTCACCTTTCCCCAGCAACACCACGTCTAGCTTGTTCAGCCCAGCTCATCCATTGCACGTTCTGGATTTTTTATGGCTTATGCTTGGTTCTGTTTGGTCTCATGCTTAACTGAAGCAAGGCCTATGAAGGCTAGACTGCTCTCACCAATCCCCCAAAAAACAGCTATCCCTATGTCTCAGGCATGCCCACCCCCCATATACATCATACTAGCAAGGGACCGCCAGGTCTAGTGGCCTTCATCTCTTCCTCCCCAGAAGTTAGACTAGGTAGGCGGGGTTTGTTGAGATCGCAGCAGGCCACGCCCCCTGCACCAGCTTACTCAGTCTTGGCATGTGTCCTCGACAGAGGACAGCTTGGCTTGCATGAGTGCTTCCATGGAGATGAGTTAGAAATGCTGCCACCACCAGTTGTATGAGTGTCGGGAGTGTGGGCGGTGGGCCATAAATAACAACACGCACACAAAACACCTGGCACCCGGAATCAGAGTGTGGCTCCCTCCCACCTCCGTGTGACTCCTGGGGTGGGTTTATTCACATGGAGACACACACCTACAGGAAGCCACCTGCACAGATGGGCCTCCTGCACGTGCCTCGATCCACACACGGCCCACATATGTTTCAGTCTCTTTTCTCTGACTTAAGCACCAGCAATTACTGTTTCCTCCATGACAGAAACTGGGGCTGGGGGCCATTGAAAAAATGCTTCAGAAAGTCCCCTCATTTGTGAAGATCGACATCAGGGCAGAGATAGAAGCTCTGTAACTCTGTAAACAAACAAACAAAATATATAATGCATGTACTCTCCAGAAACCCAAAGGGAAAAGATGTTTCTGTCTGTCTTCTTCACCTTGTACGTGTCCCTAAGGATACATGTCGCAGGTGGAAGAGATCTTAGGATAGCTGATGAAACACAGTGGACACGAGGGTCTGCAGTCTAACTCACAGCGCCTCTGTTGCATCAGTTTACACGGAGAGCAAACTGCTCTACAGAGGAGGTGTGTTGGGGCAGGTAAGAGATGAGCAATGAGGCAGGTCAAATGTCAAATCCATGGCCTTACATACATTAGGTACCCTGCAGATACTAGCTGTATGCCCTTTCAAACTGATAGAGCCGACGCAGCTGTGGCTGTAAGTCAGCTGCACGTCAGGCACTGTGGAGCTGATTGACAAGCCGTCACTGCCCAGCACCTGGGCTTCTGTGGTCATCAGAAAGTACTTCTTTTCACTGAGGGGCATTCTCCCTCCCTGCCACTCTCTTGAAATTCTGGTTCTTCTC